GGTATATGTGGGGACAACTAAATCAAAGTTAAAGACAAGGATTTCCGCTCATAAGTCAAATATTAAATTAAGGAACAACTCCTCGGACAACAAGACGGCCTTGTCATATCATTGTAAGAATACGGGACATTATCCAAACTTTGACAACGTAGCAATTTTAGAAAAGGAAAAACACTACCATAAACGCTATACTTTGGAAATGCTACATATTATGAACACCCCTAACAATAAAAGGATGAACTTCAAATCGGACACCGACAATTGCGCGCATGTTTATCGCAACTTAATTCTAAGACAACAACAATTCATAGTATAGGTGTCATGTGTTCGTTCGCAGTCCACTGTCATTCCGTACCTTATATGTTTCGGACAACAACAAAAGAGAGCTGCAGTGATATGCATACATATTTATGTCTTACTGTTCGTTTTCCTATGTATTGTTGTTCGTGGATTTTTGTTTACAATTACTGTATTTTGAATTGTTTACATTCTCATGTTGATGTTTTCTACTGTCTCCAAATTTGCTTGTTTAATTATTGTTTTTTCGCTCATCTGTTTCAGTCGATCAAACATTGTCAAATGTGTAAGTTGTACTTGTTTAGGTTTATACGTATATATGTATTAATGTGTGTAATTATAATAATGTATTTTTCAGTCCTGAGGATGACTTCAGACTGAAGTCGAAATATCGGCAAATAAAAACAAATGTAAAATCAAAAAATTTTGTTTCGATTTTCATGTGGCCTTGAGCTCGAAAAATATACAATACTGTGTAAAACGAACGGCCAATAAATAAAAAGATTTTCCAGTTAAGGCAAAGTGTATATTATAAAGTATAACCAGAAAAACCGCTAGCCAGGCAGCTGTGAACAACCCAAATATTAATACAAAAATAATCCATTTGCAGATATGTGATTTCAGAATGATAATAAGAGCTGTGGATGCGTGTCATCCAGGATCGAGCCATGATTCGTTTATTTTCAATCAGAGCAATGCAAAGCATTACCTTGAATCCAAATATGAAGCTGGTGATCATAGTTCTTGGCTGCTAGGTGATTCCGGCTATGGGTTAGAACCATTTCTACTAACTCCTTATCGCGATCCCAGTGCTGGAACGTCAGAACATGTATTCAATCTCCAACATGCCAAAGCTCGCAACATAATTGAGAGGGTAATTGGAGTACTTAAAAGTCGCTTCAAATGCTTGCAACAAATTCTGCCATATACTCCGCAGAAAGTAGTTCAAATTGTTAACATCTGCAGTACTTTACATAACAAATGTCGCTATCATAATATAGACGACGTCCTTGTCAATTGTACTGAAGATATTACCGACGACGAACCTGCAGAACAAAACAGTCGTTTCCTGACTTCTGCTGCTCATATAAGGGATGAAATAGCAAATAACCTAATACGCCTACTCTGAAATTTCGCTTGACGACTTATGCGGGGTGACCTCNATGTCGCTATCATAATATAGACGACGTCCTTGTCAATTGTACTGAAGATATTACCGACGACGAACCTGCAGAACAAAACAGTCGTTTCCTGACTTCTGCTGCTCATATAAGGGATGAAATAGCAAATAACCTAATACGCCTACTCTGAAATTTCGCTTGACGACTTATGCGGGGTGACCTCTCCAAACATCTCTAGCTGCACTTGGATCCAAATGGACTTGTATTATTATATTATACCTATAATCAGGGACCGTAACAGTTACCTACAACTTTTATTAAAAAAATCGTAGTAAAGTTTTGTTTCCAACACCTTCTTAACTGCGAAAAATGTGAATGCCTTTTAAACGAATGATTTAAATAATAAAAGTCAGTGACTGATTTTTATTTGTGACTTTTAAAAGTAAAATTCACTGACTGATTTTTATTGATTGTTATAAACACTTTTATTGAACACTTTTTACGTCTCATTGTACTATTTAACTGTTAAATAAGTTAAATTAAATTAAATTCTGATCCCAATTTTTTAGGTACATATTTCATTGGTACATATTATAATAAAAAAAAAAACTAAATTGGTAATTCTCTAGGGTGGGGTAACAACCCCTAAAAAAGG